CTTGACATTTGGTAGGACTTGACTAAATGCCATTTCAATGAATGCATGCACATATATGCAGTCACATACATGTTCACACAAAATTACACACAAATACATAGTTGCAAAATTGTATGCATATACACAAACACATGCACACACATACACACATCCCTTCAAGCTGAACCTTTCCACATTGAGCAGAGCAGCATGCAAATTGGTTAAGAGCAGGGCTGGTGTTGTGAATCAGTGGTAGAGCGCTTGCCTAGCATATGCGAGGCCCTGGGTTTGATCCTCAGCACCACATAAAAATAAATAAATAAAGATATTGCATCCAACTACAACTAAAAATTAAATATTTTTTTTTTAATTTTTTAAATGGTTAAGAGCACATACTTACACACTAGAAGCATGGATGGAGCAAAAGGTATGGTCTGATGTCCAAGGTCAGAGTATATGGAGTGAAAGCCATCTGGATTCTTACTGAAAGAAAAATCCCAACCTACCCCAAGAGTCTTTGAATCAAAATGTTCCTCACATGCTCTTTATCTGTTAATGTAGTTCGTGGTTTGAAAAGGCTGCAATATCATCCCTGAGGTGTGTTCATTCTCTTTCTCTTTCTTCCTCTGCCTACACACACACACACACACACACACACACACACACACACCCCTCTAGAGGTAGCTAAGAGGGGACAGTTGAGTGGAAATGTCACCAGAGCCACTTCTAGTAAGCAGTAACCTTGAGTAAGTTAAGAATATGGTTTGAGATATCCTCCTCTATCCACAGTAAAGATGGGCATGATTGCCAGAGTAGTTGGCTCAAGAAATCTGAGAAAGCATGGCCAACCCAAATGTAGTGTCTCCACACCATGGGCCACCAATAACCAAGCTTAGTCTGGAAGAGTGAGTTTTTCCAAGCCACCTATAGCTATTGGGTTGCTGTGAACTCATAATTGAGACATCCTGAGCATCCCTCCAAGCTCCCATTCAGACTGTACTCTAGAGCACCAGGTGACCACAGAGGACTTAAACAATGGCACACTACCTACTCCCTTTAACATTTCTATTAGAGAATTCTGGTAGGTAAGCAGTTAAGAAAAATATTCAAAGCACCTTGGGTCCTGCTTTTTATATTTCAAGCATTTAGCAAGCACCTAAGTCATATGTATGAGATCTCTGAGGACAGTCCAGATGGAAACTGTCCGTTTTCAGAGGCTATGCTTTGTTTCTAATTTGTGCTTAGAACATGCAGTACCTTCATCCAATATGAAACATGGACAGTGATTATATGAAATCAACTTAATCACTCTGTTTGTACCACACAGTGTCCTGAATTGCTACTGGCCTGGAGATATCAGTTTTCAAAAATAACATTTATCCCTGGGAACACACCCTAATGTATTTCCTTGTCCTTGGTTTCATTAGAAGAATCCCACCATTGCCAATTGCTCATTGTAAATGGTATGAGATATTGAGCAGAGTGTCTGCCATGTGGGTTTAAGCTTCTTTTTTTAAATATCTATGTTACATAGAAAGCCAAGGTAATGGGTGGGGCCACTCCTGTAAAACTGTACTGGCCTCTCAAATGTTTTTATCTTGTACAAAATCCAGTCAAACTGAGCATTAAGGAGAGCTGGGAGAGGTGCCCATGGAGAGAAAAGGGCCCAGTGTCTCAGGATCTCCTGTCAGCCAATCTTCCTTTGTCTCCTTACTCATGTCCCCCTCCTCCAATCCTCCTCCAATATCTTGGATAGATGAGAGGCTCCAGGATTTTAACACCATCTGGCAGAGTTATTTCCCTCCTCCCCTCTTGTCTGAGTGGGTGTTGAGAATGGAGAAAACATGTATCCATGTTGGAAGCTATCTTGAAGATAGCAGATTTAGCTATTAGTTATAATAGGCACAATTAACATAGTGTCTATGGAACTAAAGGAGACTTTGTTCCCTTCTAGTGTGTCCACACAGAGTGAGCAAGAAGAAACTGACTTGCCCTAATAATTCTGCTTTTAAAAATGAGGTCCAACAAAATCATAGAATTTGCAGGGAAATGGATGGCACTAGAGCAGATTATGCTTAGTGAAGCTAGCCAATCCCTAAAAAACAAATACCAAATGTCTTCTTTGATATAATGAGAGCAACTATGAACAGAGCAGGGAGGAAGAGCAGGAAGAAAAGATTAACATTAAACAGAGACATGAGATGGGAGGGAAAGGGAGAGAAAAGGGAAATTGCATGGAAATGAAGGGAGACCCTCATTGCTATACAAAATTACATATAAGAGGTTGTGAGGGGAATGGGAAAATTAACAAGGAGAGAAATGAATTACAGTAGATGGGGTAGAGAGAGAAGATGGGAGGGAAGGGGAGGGGGGATAGTAGGGGATAGGAAAAGTAGCAGAATACAACAATTACTAATTGGGCATTATGTAAAATTGTGGATGTGTAACCGACGTGATTCTGCAATCTGCATTTGGGGTAAAATTGGGAGTTCATAACCCACTTCAATCTAATGTATGAAATATGATATGTCATGAGCTTTGTAATGTTGTGAACAACCAATAAAAAAAATAAAAAAAAATTCCAATAAAAAGTACAGATTAGTTAACAGCAAAAAAAAAAAAAAAAATGAGGTCCAAGCAACTACTTTTTTTACCCATCACTCATTTCTACAGTTCAGTTCCCTACTGGGCTAATCTGCTTTTTGCCCCCTTGGTTCAGTCTCTTAACACCTCTGTACCTCAGATTTCTCTGAAAACAAACAAACAAACAAACAAACCTTGAGTTGTATTAATGACCAACTGTTGCCTGTTGAATAACAACAAGCAAGTGTTAAACCCTTTTTAATGTTCTATGGAGTCCTCCTATTAGGTGTATTTAGAACAGTAGCTATGAAATAGAGGTAAACAATATCAGCAAGCAAACACAAATTAACCATTTTTGCTTCTAGAAAAGTTTTATTAAGGGGATAATTTGACAAGGGGAAAAAGATGTATGTACAGAGTTGCTCACTGCCATGTTGTTACTATAACTTAAAAAACAGAAGTAACTGAATTGCCCGCAAATATGACATCTGTTAATCCATTGTTTTCTCCTATAGGAATAGTGTATACCCATTTTAAAAGTTGGTGTTTGGCTCAGTTCATTGCTGTGGGAGAATATTTGTATATATTGATGAAGCAAAATCAGCTTTAATAATGATACATGTTGTGAAGAGAATGCATATATGAATAGAAAGAAGTACAACTAAAGGAGGACAATGGCTGTTTATGAATACTATGATTAATGTGTGTGTATTTTACTTTTTCTTTATTTTCTTCAAGTTAACAAATATAGTATGAATTAACCTGAAAAAAAGCTACTTCCATTTCAAAAATTATAAGTAAACACCTGACATGTCTCCTAAATCTTTTCTTCCAGATAGTGACATGCCTCCAAATCAGTGGCGTTTCTCTTCTCCTTGGACAAAGTCACAGCTGGAAATGTCGCGTGCAAATAGTGCCAACAACAGCAGCTTGAATATGTCTGGTCCCTTGGCTGTGAATCAGTATCCACTGTCTCTGCCTGAGACCCACTCTGTTCAGCCTCGGGATCTGTGGCATTTCCCCTCCCTAGCCAGCCCCAGGTCCCTGGAGCCTGGCTACTCTCATGTCTTTCCGGATGGGCACCTGGTTCCAGAGCCCCGGCCTGATGGGAAATGTGAGCCTCTCCTAGGTCTCCTCCAGCAAGACAGATGTCTAAACTGTCCTCAGAAATTTGCCACGAGGGAGGATCGCAACCCTGTCCAGATAGCCGGAAGCACAGGATTGCTTTTCAACCTACCGCCCAGATCAGTCCACTGTAAGGAAATGCTTAGAGATAATTGGTGGATTTCCTCTGAGGGGTTGTGGTCAGGAGTGAGTTGGCATTAGATGGGTGCTAAGACTAATTGCTGCCAGTCTGGACATAGGGCTTCTGCTGAGGGGGTGGAATGTTTTGTGTAAATGTTCTATATATTTTCACTAGGCTTCATTAACACTCACAGTTTAATGGTTAAAGGGTTACATAGATTGCCAGCCAGATGGGTTTGGTCCTCAATACTCACCCCAGTCTGTTGGCTTGGCCTTACCCTAGAAAAATGATGGACTGCTGCCTAAAATTGGAGGGTCCCACATCTACCTCATTGGGAGCCATTAAATAATCTGTTTGCAAAACAGAGCTCTGTGACGTACCTACAGGCTCAAACGTTATGCTCCAAACAGGTTGACAACTAACAATGATGCCAGGCTCCTGGGCAAAAACAAGGGCAATCTATACCAACCATCTGCTCCACACATTAAAATTCAAAGCAACTGGAGAGGCAGCCCCATTGCTGTCTGGAGATGGCTGTCTGTGACTTCCTCCTTTACACTGGCTGCTCTTGCTCAGTTTCCCTTGGGTCATTGCCCCCTGACAGCCACCTCTCCCCTGAACTGAAAACTCCCTTAAGAAACACTGAGTTTATCATTCACTCGCTCACCCAACAAATATTTAATTGGGGTCTACTAGATGTGAAATACCCATAAGAAACAGGACTTTCTGCTTTGTAGAAGGACAGGGAAGAACTGGCATAAACCATGCTTTCAGTAAAAATGTAATCTACTCTGCTGAAAGATTTGCCTTTCATGTGAAATACTTGTAATAGAGTATAATATATATATATATATATATATATATATATATATATATATAAAATACATTCATGTGACCAAGTCTGCATTCTGTTCTCTGGAGTAATTTTCTTTTGCAATTCTCTGGTCTGTACATATCTACGGTTCTATGCCTGAGAGAAATTACTGGAAGCAGTTTTTACTGTGAACTAAAGATATAGTACACAAAGGGCCTGTTTAGCATGGCCTGCCTAAGTTCAGGACTGTGTTCCATCCTAATATTTCACAACAAATGTCCTGTTAAAATACCATTGTGTCATTTCTAAAGTTTGATTAGCAATGCATGCAGAGAGTAAATCATAAAAATGTCATGCTTGGGATACCAGTGAAAATTCCCACCCTATACTCTTTTGCAAAATATTCTCCTCCTGGATTCAGAGGGAAAGTCAGACCAACTGTGTTTGTATATATGCCTGTGCATACACATAGCAGAGCCCTTATTCAACAGTTGGTTAGAACACACATGGCTCAAATCATCATCTTTCAAACATAATAACTATATACACTTCAGATCCAATTCAGCAAATATTTAGTGAGCCTATACTATAAGCTAGGCACATCCTGGCAAACAAACTGATAATACAGGCATTATCCTATTCCTGAAACCTCTAGACAAAAATTCATGAACAAAGGTTTATCATCAATGTCTCAACTGTTGTGAGATCTTCACACATTCCTACTGCTGTTGACAATCAGTCATATTCATTGGTGACTGACCAGGAACTGTTGAGAAAGTGACCTTTAATTAGGAACACTGTCTGTAAGATGGGAACAAGTTCTAAGGGGCCTTAAGAAAACAAGCTCCTTTGATTTTTAGTATCTATTAGGAGAAAATAAGCCAGATGTCCATACACTGAGAGACAATCTGGTGCCCCTGGGTAGCTGCTGGGCAGTTTTTAACCCAGCCCTGGAGATTTCATTGTTAATCATGATTTTTTATTTTTTTTTTCAGGTAAGAAAATATATGTCTCCCCAAGTCATGGACCTGCCAGTCCCAACCTTGCAAATGAAAGTAGGTATCCAGTTCAGCCTTTGATAGCTGGGTTCTGTATCCTGAGAACAAATTTGAGGAGATTATATTATCAACATTAGGGCCTCTAGCAGCTGACAGGAGTCTTATTTCTATTATTTGGGATTTCGATGGATAGAATTCGTTTCATTGTAGTTTCAACGAACCCAAGTACTTCAGATCTTGTCAAATTTCTTGTATATTTTCTCATTTTGCTAGAGAAGCGATTTTATTGAGTCCTTTTTTTCTGAGCCCAACTTACCTGAGGTAACCAAGGTGACTCACAATAATGAACAAATCCATGAGGATTAGCTTGCTTTGTCCCAGATGTTCGGCTTTCAGCTTAGCACATAGGGGCACCCCAGGACTCTGTGATCAGGAAAATGTGACTCAGGCCCAAGACAAAGACTCTGGGTTCCACACTCAATTTGAAAATGAAATCCATAGGAACTTCAAAATGAGGACAATCTGGGTGGGATGAGGAGAGGATTTGCATGATCTAAGTTTAGGGTTCAAATTCCAGCTTCATTACTTTAGCCTCAGGAACTCAGTCACATTTATTAAGCTCCCTATGCCTCAGTTGTCATATTTGGAAAATAGGCATCAAATTATTGCTTACCTCATGAAGTTTCTATGAGCATTAAATGGAATAGTCTATGAAAATGCTTAGAATAAGGTCTGGCACATAGTAAGCCATCAAAATGTGTAGGCTTTTTGGAAGGCATCCTGGTATCCCAAACTATGTTCTATGCTATATGTTTCAGAGAGGACCAACAGGAAGAAGCACCACCAAAGCCCTGGTTTCAGGCATTTTACAGTTCAGTGTGAAGAGGGGTTGAGGGTGATATATAATACTCCACTTCAATGTCAGTTTAACGAGGACTGAGACTTTGAGGGGTGAACTGTCATATCCCCAATACCTGCAGGAATGCTTGACACAGAAGTCCATATGTATTTGCTGAATGAATGAATGAGTGAATGAATGCTAGAAACAATAAAAGAATATTTAAAAAGGAAATAGCAAGAAAATCCCCACCCAAATAGTAAAACTTCATGTGTTTCAGGCTGTTATATAAAACCTCAGTGGTTAACTGGCCGTGCCCAGATGAGGAGATACATTAAGGGCTAGATGGAAGGCTCATAGCTGAGTCCAGGCCCAAGGGAATGATATCTAATTTATGAAAGTCAGGATTGTGATATCTCCTAAGTACTTGTTAATAGTTCCTATATTATTTTATTAGAAGTTGTGAAATTGCTGATAATGTAATGATGCATTCCATTGTTCATAGGCCCCAAAGAACAACATTTTTTGGGTATTGACTGTGAGCCAGATACCACACACCTCATCCTGCTTAGTTTCCACCACAAACTTGTGATATGTATATGAGTATATCCTAGGTAAATCACACAACCGATATTCAGTAAATAATGGGTGAATGAATGAATATCTCCATTTAATAGATGAGAAAACTGAGTCTCAAAGAGGTGAAAAGACTTGCCTTTAGATTACATAGAAGCAAGTGACAGGTGTAATATTATCTCTTTGCTCTCACAGTGTCATACAATCCTCAAAGCAATTCCAATTTAAATATATTGCATAATAGTAAAAATTAGTTACTGGTGAGACTAATTCACTCTACGTGGGTTTACTATCCATCTGTGGCTAGGACACTGTTCTAGCATAAAGGAAGAGGAGTGCAGAAAGCTCAGAAAGCAAGCAAAAGAACAGAAAGCAATATTACTTGGGAAAGGGGTATGGGGATGATCTTCCCTTGCAAAGAGGATTTGAGAGAAAGCAGGGAAAGGGTATTTGGTTATGTCAACAGCCTACCACTATTGCTCTGGGCAGAGGGAGGCTGCAAGGAATAGGGAGGGGAGAGGGAGAGTTTCCTAGAGCTCCAAGCAAACTGACCACAAACCCCAGCAAAACCAGTGCTCTTAAGCATGACATCAGTCTCCCAATCTTGCCTAATGCTAAGATCCACTGGAAGCTTATTATCTGCATGAATTGTGCTCCCCTATTCCTGTGGGAGTAGATCTGGCATGAGACACAGTCACATTGGCTTGTATTGTACTCTTTATGTATTTTTTATTAACTTCAGTTTGAAGTGACCTGTATGAACCTTTCAGTAGGAATTTTTGTAGTTCCAAAAGATTTCCAATGTGAGGCTCCAGACAAATATGCTGCAAAAGAAGAAAGGCAGAGTCTCTCCTGTCCCTCCCATATGGACTTAACCCCCTCATGTACCTATGTACCTCATGGCTTCATGAGGTAGAAGCCATGTGGAGCATGCCTATCATGCACAGGGCCTGTCCCATTGATGCTGAAGGCCCTCAGCATTGATCAAATAATCTATCAATCAACCAGTTTAAATAAAAATTCAAAAAAGAAAAGGAAGAAAGAATAAAAGAGACCCAGTTGCCACCTACAGTACAGGCTCTATTTTTATCCACATTGACAGATGGGAAAATTGAAGTTTTAGGAGGTTAAGTAACTTGTCCCAGTGAGTAAGTGGCAGTTTTCTCTGACTTCAAAGTGTCTGATATTACCCACTAAGCTAAGGTGCAGCTTGACCACACAATAAATCAACTCTATCACATTTAGAGACACTGCTTCCTTAAACAAAATAATAATGATTTATTGAACACATATGTGCCAGCTGGAGCTTCATATACATTTGACTCGATTCTCACCAGAATCTTAGGAAGTTGATATTAATATCTCCATTTAACATGAGGGCAGTAGGACTCAGATAGGCTTGGTAACTGGCCTAAGGTCACACAGCTAGGCAGTGCTGAGTCCAGGACTCAAACCTGAGCTCATCTGACCTCACAGGTATCCTCTTTTTCATCATGCTTATCCTGTTTTTCAGGAAGCCAATCTCCAGAGAGAAGAAAAGATCTGTACTATTATTAACTGCGGTTTGAAGAAGAGAAATATTCTTTCTAAACCTGCTTATGATTTTCTACTGTGAATCCACAGGGTCTAGAGACCTCACTGTCCTTTTCTTTTTCTGCCCCTAAAGAACATTTCTGCCCTCCCTAAGATTGTGCATTTTTCTTCCTTGGTAACTATGTCCTATATGAGGGTTTTCCAAACTTGCTAGGTGATTTCCCAGCATGTTAAAGAGCTGTTTCAGGGTGGAGGGCATAGAGGCCCACCTGCTTGTTCATACCCACTGCACTTAGAGATCACAGCATCTTGATTCTCCCCAGCAGTAACCTTTGAACCAAGGCTGACCACATGATATTTATTCTATGGGTGGTTTAGTCAGCTTTCTCGCTGCTGTGACTAAAGGATCTGACCAGACCAACCATAGAGGAGGAAAACTTTCTTTGAGAGCTCACAGTTTCAGAGGTCATAGTCTATAGAAGGCTGGCTACATTTCTTGGGGCCCAAGATGAGGCTGAACATCATGGAGGAGTGTGTGGCAGTGGGAAGCAGCTTACATCATGGAGATTAAGAAGCAGAGAGACTCCACTCGCCAGATATAAATATATACACCAAAGCCACAACCTAATTCCCACCTCCTCCAGCCACACCCTACCACTTTAGTTAATCCCACCAGGGATTAACTCATTGGTAAGGTTAAGGCTATAACTCAATCATTTCTCCTCCAAACCTTCTTGCATTGTCTCACATGTGAGCTTTCAGGGGACACCAAATCAAAACCATAACAATAGGTTTGTCCCATGATCCCAACTGAATTAATGTGTCAAGAACAGCCTATAGCTTTCCAGTCTTCACTAGACTGTGGCCAACCTCACCCCTTCCTCTACCAAAAACAGAATGAAAATGAGGTGGGTAAGACCTACCAAGAATGGGCTGGGGCTCTCTACTGGTCCAAAGTCTGGAAAGAAGCTGAGAATTCTCCATCTGGACTTGATGAATGAAATGGTTTCACTTAGAAAATTTGGTTCCTCAATTCCAAAAAAAAAAAAAATGATTCCAAATGGAATTGTTGGGAAGTCCAAGAACCTAACTTATTGGAAATTGAGAAAATTTCCCTGTCCCACATTGAACCTGTTAGTGGAACAGAATTTGCTGTTGCTGTAGCAAGAATGTTTTTTGGATACAGTGTGTAAATTTCTGTCTTCCTTGGCCCTGATGTTGAGGACTCTGGTATCTGACACCACATGGATACTCGCAACATCTTTAGTCAAGTTGGAGGAGCAAGGCAAGACTTGGTCCAAGACATAGCAGCAGAACCTTCGTGTAGATTGTTTCAGATAAAATGATAATTGCCAATCTGGTAGACAGCCTTGTGTCTAGTATGAGCTGGATGTTTGCCCTGTGACAGTCCTAGAATCCCCTGCCATAAATGTTCTCCATTTGTGCCCCACTTGCTCTTGGATAATAGCTAAAAGGGTGAATAATAATAAAGCTATACTTTTACAGATTACCCTATTCTGGTTTCTAAGTTTTTTCACATTCATTCAAAATTTCCAGCAATCTTTAGATTAACAATATTATATTCATTTATTATAGGTAGATACTGAAGCTTATAAAATGTAAATGACCTGACCCAATTCACATAGTCAGTAACAGAACCAACACTGAAATCCAGGTGTCTGAACACAATGCTCTTTTCTCTCCACCATAAGATACTTATCAAGGGTTAATATCAATATGCCTCTTAGATACTTGTTGTTCCCATATGCTGTGTAAATAAAGACCACAACTTTTCTGAGTGCATTGTTGATTTCGGGCAGTAATACAGCAATTCTTCTATCTCAACAACAGTTTTTTTTTTTTTTTTCCCAGTGCATTGCACATGTTTCCTACATTTAGGCAGAGGATAAAAGACCTAGCCAGTAGATTTTCCCACAAAGTTAGGTACCTTCAAAAGTTTCATTCTTTTTTAGGTGGTGATTGGGAAAATTGGGGGGTGGAAGCTAATTCTAGTACTTGTGATTAATAATTACACATGTATGTGTTTATCTTGGCTCATTCTATAAAGATTCATCTGTTAGAAGATAACATGTATCATCAGAATTGAACT